GATAAAACATACTGTGACAGAAAAAAAATCTTATACAAACTGTGATGAAACCTCGATAAGGTATATAATATTAACTGCAACAGTTTATTATAACAAAATTATTTTACAATCATAATGCAAGTATTTTAGGTACCTCTTTATAGTAAATTCAAAATTTTTATGAAAATATGAAACTACAAAATACATTAATATTACTCCGTACTCGTTACATTACGACTTGTAAATTAATATAATAAATTAAAAGTTAATTCGAAATTCAATATTGTCAAAAATTTAATACCAATACTTTAAATTGAATACCATATAAGTAATATATATATATATATATATATATATATATATATATAATACCTTATATAAAACGCTCCATCATAATCGTTTAGAATCAGCGACAGTTACAAATGTACGACTTGATTTCTCTTGATATCCGATACAGTAAACAATACTACACGACTCAGTTGTTCACAACCGATTATCGTTGGACTACTGAAAGCCTGTGGGCTTGTCATTGGTGCCTTGGTGGTCCATGGCACCAAAGATTTTTTTACTCAAAAAATTAGAAATAAAAAATTCAGTTTAGCGAAATGTCACACACTGAGCGATTCCATATATTTTTACATATGTGAGTGAGCATGGATTATTGAGTCCGTTCATGATAAAAAAGAACTGATACTAGGGATGGGAGCGGCCACTGTTGTAGGTGAGAAGTTGGGAAGGGAGTTTGAACCTCAAAAATGTCCTAAATAAAAAAAAAAATTATTTCATTTGCCTTAAAAATTCAAAATAACGGACTTATAAAATTCACTAGAAATATGACTTTAAAATTAGCAACTGCCAAAAAATTCAGAACAAGATGTCCTATACTCGTTAAAAAAATTACTTTAAACGAAATATTGTAACAAAATAAGTCTAAACAAAGTAAAATAAAATAACTTATTGTTATCTGCAGGGTTTATTGACATTACTATATTGTTCGATACTATAATATTATTATTATGCGTCTTAGTGACTTATAAAAGAGAGTGGGGAGGGGACTTCGTCACCACAGTCCAACAGGTTCTTATTTTTGCTATGGAATTTAATCAATGCTAATAATTGAATTACAAAGTGTGTACCCAGAAGTCGGAAGTATTTTAGGCTCTGCAGTTATATGTATAATATACTTTATAGAGAATGTAAACGGTTCTATATATGCACGGTTTCGGAGGAACATTTTTAATCGTTTTATCTGATAATATTATACAATGCTAATATGATGCCACTCTCAAACTCGCGTATAAACGAACCTAATAAACGTATTCGATTTTAACTTTTTCATTCCCCTCCCCTCTCCGTTAACATTTATGGTGTCCGTGCGGTAATTCATTCCGAACTGCTAGTATAATTATTTAATTTTTTGCTCTAATTGGAACGGAAAAACAGTTTATTTATTCCGGTGGTGTATTAGGGCGTGATTGTATAGTTATGCGTGGGTATACAGCGTGCACTATACTGCGTCTTCTGGATTTATTATTATTATTATTGCGCATAGGTATAGAAACAGAGAGAAAAAAAATGATGATACGACACGGTGTAAGCACACACACTTTTTCTGTGTATTTTTCATTTTTTGCTTGAACCGTATTCCTCGGTCTTGGAACGTAAAAGATAAATATTGTTATAGGTATATAATCCAAGCACTATTTAATTATTAGTTATAAATAATATCTATCTAATATACATAAAACAATCGCATAATTTTCGATTCGAAATCTAATTTCACATCATAATTTAATAAAAATTAAGACTGTAATGAATTTGATGTTCTGAAAAAAAAGAGCTGACTCTGCTAATGGATGCACTACTGTTGTAGGTGGAAAGTTGAGAAGGTAGGATGTAATTAAAAGTTGTTTAATTTATACCTATAAGCAACTATATAAACCATTGCTAACGGTAAACAATTCTGAGCGAAGTTCGCTTGTGCATGGTTCATTTTTGGTTTTTCTCAATTATCATGAGAATAGTTTGGAAAATCAAGAATGACGTACCTCGTGAACAACTAGATCTATAAAGCAGTAAAGAAGGTCAATTGGCACTTTTTGATTAAACCATTAAACCTGGTAGATAACATATATTGGCGTGAATATTTGCCGTTTTTCTTACAATTTTTTTCGGTTTTTCCCAAACAATTTGAAACCCCCTTAGAATAGCAACACACTCTAATGTTTATCTAACTATATAAAATTTTCTTTTGGAAAAAATGAACACTTAAAACACTAGAACAAGATTTCTGATAGAAAATTTGATCATAGACTTACAAAAAAACACATACACACACACACACACACACATCACAATAAAACCAATAGATCCCTCCATACACTCCGAATCTAGGATCACTAATAAATTTAAAACAAAATAAAAAAAAACAACTCATTAAAAAGGTAAGATTAGGTTAAAATAGTCCAAAATGGAATAGTTTAAAATTATAATGAACCAAAACGTGTCATTGTTTCATTGAACATTCATAAATCTTTAATTCATAATCATACGTTTAAAACAAAAAACCTGTATAGATGATACATAGTATTTCTATAATATTATAAATTCACAATCACAACTTGTTCCTCGATTTTACGCTTATTTAATATTATTACTCTGCGCGTAACCCGACTGATGTCGTTCTGGGTTTTAGGGTTTTTCATTCGGCAAATAGGTACATTTTTTATTGCCATCTACGTGTGTGTCAACATTTTTTTTTTAAACAATATCCTACCTAGGTGTAACGCGTAATATGTGCATAATAAATTTGATTTTCAACGCGAAAAAAAACATTCTTCCATTATACATAGGTATACTTACGTCATCAATATTTTAAACAAAGAATTTCATCAATTATAATATATTTACAAATGTTTTAAATTTACGTTATCACGAAAATAAAAAATATAATAATATATTTTAGTGTCAATATATCGTGTGTTAATATAATTAAATAAATGACGGTGGTAATAAAGTATAACATCCATTTTATGATTTATACCGAAAGTAACTACATTGTATAGGTATAATATATTATGATTATTTTTAAAAATAATAAATCCAATAATATATAATAACGTAAATTATATTTATAATCTTAAATTCGCACGAAATTGCAATTTAAATTTGAAATTACACAATAATTAATAACATAATTATTATTAAACAAACTACGATAAATATTATGCGGTTTTTTACAATTTACAGCGATATCGCATACTGTTATTTATAGCTATTGCTTAAACAGTTAGTCCCTGTAACAAGTTGTAAATTTGAAATTTCATCATATTATAAATATAGATGTTTATAGATCTAATATATTATGTCGTAACTTTTTAAGATACGCTGACTGTATATTATGCCTATTATATGATTGTGTAAATTATTATCTTTTCGGGAGATCTCTGCAAAATCGCTAAAAACTGTAGTCGATTATTATATTACGTTATTTGTGCGAATCGTACACATCTAAAATATTACGCTACATAAATTACACTTTGGCTCGTATAATTCAAACAAATGTATAAGTACGTACATACTTAATGTTTTTTTTTTCTATTGTGATAATAGAATTTTCACGGGACAAAACGCGTATACGTCGCACGCCACGAATTATTATTATTAAAAAATAATAATAATAATAACAATTTGTCTGCATCGTCGGGATAGCCGGTTTCTTTAAAATTACAGTGGACACCATTATAATTATTAACGTACAGTAATGAATAAAATGATACTGTTCTCGACGCAGTAAGGTCATGCACAAAACAATAATAGTATACCTATATAATATATATATATAAGAACAAATTTGTATATTACACTCAAAAGGTAAAAGTATAATAAGTATACCTAACGTTATACCTATTACCTACAGTATATTCCCCACAAGTTCATTGTGTACGAAATTGCAGTACCTAAATAACTAATACCCAACTCTAAACAAGGACCACGGTACTTGTATTATTTCACGTGCATATTATAATTATCTGACACGACTAAAATGATTACCTATTAAATACGCGACCGAACCAAAAAGAAAAAGAATTATAATTATAATAAAATAGATCGAGGTAGGTACGGGTATAATGTGTACACACGCGGTCGTAGAAATTTGTAAATTATATTTCGTGGGAAACTACGGACTGCGACAAAATTGAATTTTTTCTTAAAGTCGATGCGCGCGTGTGTAATCTGCGACAGAATTAAATTTATTAAGAAATTTGTTAACGTTACTACAGTTCATACAGCAAAAAAGAAACTTGTCCCATTTAAAAAAAAAAAAATCACTTCTTTAAGCGTTTCTTTGTTAATCCTGTGCTCCTATAGTGCAAAGTTCGAACTAATTTTTTATATTCTTTATATCAAAACACCGATAGTTAATTTGCTTTGGAAACATAATACGCATCTACCAACGATGCCAATACCACATAATTTCTATGAAATATTAATTTTATAATTTTGAGTATACAATTAATATATATTCGTATATAACTACGTACATTATGATGAACCGCATAATGTCCGATAAATTGGAAAGCCGAAAAAAAACAATTGAACGAAAGTTTGCGTTTAAGTTCCTCAATAGGACCTATTCCGTTTCTCGTTTTGTAACGCGTTCCTTCCAAACACTGACCCACCTTTTGTACATATATCTAATTAATATTTACCGAAATTGAATGATCAATTATACTAATATTAATATACAACATCCGTGCGCTAATTATTAAGTGTACGGCGTATAGCGATCGAAAACCCGCGATTTGGAGTTTGACCAGAAATATTTTTGGGTTTTTGGTGAGCTCAATTAAATATCGGTTTTTGGACCCTCCAAAAAAGGTTTTACTTTTATTTTATACTCCATATGATACTATTAATAATTTACAATGATAGCACTTTTTTAAGTTGGAACTTTAAGGAGGTCAATTTTTTATTTTCCTAGGATTTTTCTCAATAAATGGGACACATCGGGAAAAAACATGGGAAAACCTAGAAAAAACGCTCTGTCTGTATTAAATGCAGCAGTGGCAGATGTTAAAGTAAAGGCAAACATTAAAGAACCGTGTAGAAATAATATTCCATTAGTAAGTTAATATTAATTATCTGATATCTTTATAGACACTTGCCGATAATTATAAATTAAATATCATGATCCATGTAAATCTGGAGCATTTAATTTCGTTAAGTCGTCATCACAGGAAAATATTACCAAGAACTATCGATGCGCTTGGTGCAGCGGGAATGGTCATAAGCTTGGAGATAACTGTAACCAAATCGTGAAAGAACGACGTAAAATGTGTTCACCAAAGAAAGTTGTCAGTGAGAAAACAGGTAATTATGATGATCCCGAGTCATCCAGATCAATTAAATTTAGAACAACGTCACAGAGATATTCTCCGTGTGATTATGATTAATTTCGTATACTTCAAATATAATTGTATAATATTCATATATGTATGTTCAGTCTGTCATAGCACCAAGAGGTCCTTTTACCAACGTGAATCGCGATCACCAATAAGCGATACTAAAATGATTAAATCGTGAGATTCAGGCTTTATGGCTGATTCATGCAAATCTGTTCCGTTAAATGTCTGTAAATCGCATTCACGGGAAAATATTTATGAGAACGTTCTTTGCGCTTGGTGCCACGAGTATGGTCATTTGTTTGGTTTTACTTGTAAAAAGTTCGTTGCAGCCTACATGATATACTCACCAAAAACAGATGTGTTTGAAAAAACAGGTAATTATAATGATCCCGTAGTCATAGATAAGACACCCAGACCAATTAGATCTAGAACACCACCACATGGATATTCTCCAAGTGATTATGATTAATTTTGTATACTTCAAATATAATTATATATTACTCGTGTATGTATGTTGAGTCTACAATCGCGCCCAGAAAATTGAAAAACTTTCAATGCGCTTGGTGCCACGAGAAAGGTGCTTGGTGATAAATGTGAACAGTTTATGAAAGCCTACAAAAAATATTCCTTAGGAATAGTTTTCAAGTATCCTTAATTAAAAATTTTAATAGCTTTAATTTAAAATGTTTCGGCTGAAACTTCCGAGATATTCTTCAAGTTATTATTATTTCAAATAACGTTAAATAATACTATTGTCTATAAAAAAATATTAATAGTTCTAACATATATGGTACTATAAACATATAAGTGGTTTAGTCAAAAATGTTAGGGGGATGCATACCAAGTTAGATTTATTACGTCTCAATGAACTATTATTTATGTTATTATTTACACTAAACTTAAAAAAGCATTTGATAGCGTTAATCATGACTCCCTTGTGAATAAGCTAAAATTTTTTGATGTATCTGATTCCTTGTTATCATGGTTCAACTCATATCTTACTTTTCGTACTCAATTTGTAAAAATACATAATTATTTTTCTTTTCCCATTACCGTTACCACGGATGTCTCACAAGGTGGGCATCTTTCTCCGTGGCTATTCAACGTATTTATTAATGACGTGTCTCATTGCTTTTCTTCTTGCAAATTTTCGCTTTTCGCTGACGACCTGAAAGTATTTGGTGTTATAAATAACACTTCTGATTGTCTAGATCTCCAAAGATGCCTAGATAATTTCTATGAATGGGTGCTCGTGTAATGGCTTAATTATAAATATTAAAAAATACAAATTATACATTGTTTTTTTGAACATATTCATATACAAACTTTCATTATTCTATTAATTCAACTTCTCTAGTTCCTGTCTCTACAATAAAAAATTTAGGTGTTATTATTGCACCGATCTATCATTTAAAGATAATATTACCCATGTTTTTAAAAAAACAATGAAAACACTTAGGTTTATAAACCGTAACACTATTGGGAGGTAATTTTTCTGATTTTCCAAGCGGTTTTTATAATATCTGGGAAAAACCAGAATAAAACGTAAGAAAACCGAGAAATGTACGAAAATAATGCTTTTATTATTTTTCAATTTTGTTATTTGTTGTAAATCAGTTAAAAATATTCGTAGAGACTTGAATTTTTGGACAGAAAACTTATATTTGTCTTCTCTAGACTTGGTAAGTTTTGTAATACATAATTTAAAGTGTCGTAATTTTTTTTGCGATTTTCGTTTAAATTTGATTTCAAAATACTTATTAAAAAAAAAAAAAGGCGTCCCATAATTTTGAAAATTTTACCAATTATTACCAAGTTTCAAATCTCTACGTGTATTTACAGTAAAAAACTCCCAAAAATGAAAATTCCTTAAAAGCTCAAAAGTGGCTCAAAAGTTTTGGCGATGGTACTGTAAGAAATTAAATTAAAAAGGCAACAAAAAAAGTCTCGTGCAATTTTTCGATTAAATCATATTATCCGGTAGAAAACGTCGTCCGTGTTTTTTTTATAATATAATGAAATCGTGAAATTGTACGTTTTCTTACGTTGTTTCACACGTAAGTGCTTTAATTCGAAAAATGGCGACGAAAATCGAAAATTGACCTTTTTAAAGTACAATATAGACAATTTGAGATTTCAGAAAAGTTGCTACGCGTAAAACTCGGAGCAAGTTTACTAGGAAAAAACGTGTCCACAGACTAGAACAAAGAAAAAAAATAAAAAAAAAAATAAACAACATCGTAAAACCAATAGCTCCCTCGCTGCGCTCGGAATCTAAAATGGGATGAACACGCTTAGTGAATCTATAGTGAATATATATATACAAGTATATGTACACTTATTCGTATCGCAAAAAATATTCTCGAGAAAAAAAAAAAATTGAAAAATACGATATTGTCCGCGGATGAAAATATCAAGCAACGCCGTAATTCAACGTGCGTGTGACCGAGTCGAAATTCGGGTAACCGAGCGGATAGCCGCGGCGAGGAAAATAATATAATAACAAAAATAATACGACGACAATACGGCGCATTACGCTATGAATCCCGGCGACCGATGTCGTTTTTTCGATCGGCAGCAGTAGCCGCTCGCACGTTTCGGGGCTAATGTTGTCACTAATCGAGGGTTTCGATTGGTTCCGGTTTTCGTACCGTTAAAAGTCGTCGGCGTTTCGAACGCGGTCGCGAAACGAATGTCGGTTAACCGTCGCGAATACTATCGCGGATCGGACGATATCGCGATAGCGTAATGTTCTGTGTATTAGATATTTTCAGTAGGGACGGGCCCGGGGCCGATACCGATTTTTACCGATAATGAAAAAAAAACAAAAAAAAAAACAAACCGATACCCGACATAATATGAAATCGAAATCCACGTGTTAATATTGAAATCGACAGGTTTATCGATAACCGATTTGTAAATACTTTTTACAATATGGTCCAGACATAATAAAAGACGTTTTTCATTTAAATATTTATTTTTGTACGGTAACTTTTCGGACGACGGCGACGATGTTATTTAGGCGTAGAGTGTTTAAAAAATGAAATATCGTTGTCTTCAGCGACGCTTAATCAAAACGAATATAATAATCGTGTAATATACGTACATGTCATTACAAAACTCAACATTTTAACAATTAATTATACTTTATCGTTGAATCTTGTTCCGAAATTCAGCCATCCGTTGTTTCTAATTCGTATATTTTCTGATCAGTTCTTATTTACCGATATCATACAGAAAAAAAATTTTACAATCGAATGCTCGCGTTGTGGAAATAAATTAAATATAACTGTATGTATCTATAAGCGTGCGCACGCGGTGGCAGGGTGGGCAGCTGCTTCCTCTGCGGGCTGATTTTTTTCCCAAATAAACTAATATTACAACAATTTATTTCGGTAGTCATTATTTAGGTAATCGTGTGTGTTCGTGACTGATATAAATTTGATATAATGTTTATTCTAAAAATGATTAACTCAACATCAATATAAGAAAAGTTTAAAATCTTGTTCTAAAACAATTTGAAATAAATAACGTTTATTGGTTAGCATGAGACTATATTACGTGATCATCTTGTTATCAACTTTTGTTTGAGTTAAAACACCTTGATATAATTTTCGGGTGGTGACTTTCTCGTGTACCTTACCATGACGTGGTTCTTCATTCAACCATGAATATGCAGCTGTCTGTGGATTATATTCCGATACTTTTGGCATAGGTATTTATTTTTACATATTAAATACACAATAATCGTATTAATTGTATTAGGCAACAATGTAGAACGATCAGAATTTTTTAATAAATTATAGTATGAAATTAACCAGACTGAGATTAGGTTTGATGATATTTGTATGAAATTTATTACGAATACTAGTAAGTTATTATCAATTTAAATTGAGATGAAAAATATAAATACATTTTTGTGTCCAAATTATCGTTATTTCTACAGTCAAAACTAAAATAAACGTTACAAGACTTGGTACATTTGTAGTTTAGGAGTCACGCTTTGTAATAGGGGATACATTATTTTAAGCTCTAGGTATTAGTACTATAGATATCACAATCATATGCAGGAATGTTGTTTTCTGAAAATCTCAAAAATGTGTAATGATCGGCTTGGCAAAGTCTTCGAATCGTTAAATACGATAGATAACAATAACTGGGTTGCTTAATACCCATTGGTAAATGTAGTGCTTGTATAGGTTTTAGGAGTCTTAGTAATTATAAAAACCACGAAAAGTTCCCATTTATACATATCGACTATAGATATAATTATGTTCAATTTTACATTATAAACAGTAGTTACCTACTATTTACTCAGATCTCAAAAAAAAAAAAAAATAATAATAATAACTATAGATCAAAATGGCCTAAATCATGTACGTGTTTTCACTTCCCGGCTCGCAGATGTATTATAGTCAAACTATTCAGATCCTTTAATTTCCGCTCTCGGTTCTGACTCTATATTCCTGCTACAGGCAATCCTCCTCCTAATATAGATTCAAGAGAAAGTGGTGTTGAGATTTAAATCTTACGGCTATGTATATAGATTCGTCATTCGTATCATACCGAACAACAATTGAAACTAAACAAATCGAATTATATAAATAATGTCGCCATTGGGTGGCTGCATTTTATCATTACCTATAATACTTAATATGTCAATTCTTTCACATAACAATATTATTATATTGCGCAACGTAAATGCTTATCTCGAATGTGTAGATTTACAGATTGTATATCATTATATAAAGTAAAATGAAAAGAAGTGATCATGATGAGGTCCGATATCCGTAAATGCATACATTTAAATCGTACTATTATTATATTATCGCCGACAAGTCTGTATAATAAATAATTTTTGGTTGAAATTCTGACGACACTATTATATGATATCATCGGGAGATTAAGTTACAATGAACACACAAAACGCATTTGAAATAACGTTATCTGGCTGCAGTGACAAAAAGAAAAAAAAAACGTTGGATTACTGAGGGTGCAGGATTATCGATACTTTACCTATATAATATATGTATAGTTAATAGGTACCTATTTTGCTGATGTACTAACATACATACAATGAAAAACATGAAATATTTGTTTGTAGTCAATGTTTCCAGGAGTTTAAATACAAAAGGGTTTAATGTACCGTTCACTATAAAACACTTTCGTCCGTTGTTGCGAATTCGTATAAAAGTAAATCGTCCATAATTCAGTTTCAAATACAAATGTTCGGCATAGCATATTTCGAAATGTCGTTCATTTTACTAACAATAAAGTCGCGAATATATAACTCTATACGAGTAGCTGGTATCATGATTATTTATAATATTATGCATTATTGCTCGTATTTTATGAAATAACGAAATACATAATTAAGCATAGGGCATTGTTCCCATTTAAGACGCACCAGGAGTCTCGATTAAAAACGTGAAAATTAAGTCTGTGTATACAAGTGAATGAAAAAATGTG